TAATGCACACAATTTTGGATAGTATCCATATAGGGTATTTGAACTTATCTCCATTCCATTTTTAGAAGGAGGTGGAACATAAGTAAATTAATATTTGGACTCTGGAGGTATCTGGGAAAAAATCTTTGGGCTTTTCAAAGAAACTGGGAAGTCCAACTTCAGTTTGATTTTAATTACTTACAGCTGCAGCCCCGTGTTACTCAGTTCTGTCTCCTGGTACTGGAGGGTTAATGCTGGCTTTTGAGCCAAACAGATATTTGTTTTTGTACACCATTTTAATGAGAATTTAGAACAATGATCTTAGAAAGAAAACATCAAGATTTTATCACTGCTCCCCTGGGACTTCTGCCTAAATCTTTTTCACTGGAGTTTTTTAAAAATTCTTTTTGGGTGAACCAGCAACACTCTTCAGAGTTCTTTTCACAGAAAGGCAACTCTTCCTGACTCCCCAAACAGTGGGGTTTCCTGGGTCATGGGGCTCTCGCTAGCTTCGCACTCACATGTAAGTCGTGAGCAGTTATTTTGTCTGTAAATTAGGTGGCACAATGTGAAATCGCTATGTACATAGATCAAAATGGGCAAACAACAGCATTTTCGTATGGCTCGTGTTAATACAAGGTTTCAGCAGTCGTTTGAGAAGTTTGTCAGCCTCTTTGTGAAAGCAGTCTTTTTTCAGATGCCACAAGTCTTAATATATAGAAATTCAAAAGTAAAAGAAACCAACATATTGAAATAGCTTAGACGAGATGTCTGTGTCCTGTTCCATGGACATGCAGCTATCCAAGCAGATGTGTGTACGAGTGTGTTTCTAATTCAGTTCCACCAAAATGGCAGTCCTGAAGTTAGTGAGAACCTCATCTTCATCTTGAACTTGAGCCAGAAACAAGGGAAAAGCATGCCCTCAACTGCTGCCATGAAACTGTCAATTTTCTGGAGCAGCTGTGGTATTTATTACCATGTGGGTGAGGTTTTGAAGTTCAAATGGAGCAGATAGGAGTGTACCAGATGTGGTGTGCAGGAAATGTCTCATTTCTTCTTCTCTTAAAAAAAAATTTACTTAATATGAACAATTAACCCATCCCCCACACCCCAAGGCTGAAAGGAAATTAAAACATAATTATCTTCCTTCTTTTTCCCCCACCAGGATGTGCAAAGGACCTAGAGCCTCCCATAATGATTCAAATTTGGGGAGCACTGCTACTCATGTTCACGAGTGTGCTCTGGCATTGCCGAAACCCGCATCACCCTGTCCCCATGGCCTTTGGGGCAAAAGGATGTGCTGTCTGTCCCTCACATCTGATGTCCATTTGATCACAGCCAGCAGCCCAGTTCCAGGGGTGCTGAAGGAGTATAGGGCATGGGTCCCCTCTGAACTTGGGTCCCACAATCCTTTCCCTCCCCATGGAGGGTAATCCTGTGTTGTCTCCGTCTACAGGGTCCCGCCTCTCTCCCATCCCCCTCTGGGACACCTGACACAGTGTGTACTTCAGTGAGCTGGGGCCTGGGAAGGAAACCTCCTGAGGCAGTGGCCCGTCCACTTGTGGGAAGGCTCAGTTGGTTCAGTACTGGAGCTGCTAGCCGTGTTCACTTGCTAGCTAGCTATTTGAGTTTGAATTAGCTAAAATAAACAATTCAGTTCCTCAGTCACCTCATCACACTTCAAGCAGCCTATTGCCACAAAGAGCTAGTGGCTACCGCATCAGACCGCGCAGGCAGGATGTTTCCCTCATTGTAGGAAGTGCTGTTGGACAGAGCTGGTCTATGATGAGCAATGTGTGTTTTTTCTAGGGAACAGTTGAGGTTGGATCCACTACTCTCCTAACTTGTTTTCTGACTCGGCTTGGCTTTGGTTATTGACAAAGGAGAACGGTAACCAGCGAAGGGCAGTGGGAAGGGACAGCTGTGATGAGCAGACCCACACAGTCATTCTCGAGAGATGGGTTCCTGTGGTTAGGTGGGGGAGGGGATTTGCCTGTCACCCTTTCTCTCCTGTGTTGTCCAGAGTGTCCCAAGGTACTGGATTAATCACTAAGTCTAAGAATCTTCTGTTGCTTAAAATGGGTTTTGGGATTTATCTCCTAAGAGGAATCTTGGATTTTATGTGAGCACCTAAAATTTAATGTGTATTATGGCTCCATTTCCCTTGGGGGTGGCATCAGCAAGGTGAGTGTGGTTTGAGTGTGGCTAGTTTGATTCTATGACCTGTGATGTGCACGTGCAGCGGGGAGTGGGGGGGTGGCCCTCTGCCAAAGGCAAGGCTGTCCAGGGAATCAGGAGCCTGTGAGCAAATTGAGACTGATGTTGGGAGCATGATAGACATCCGTGTCCTAAGCCATCTGTATAAATTGGCACTGGTAAGACAGCAAAGAGCCAGACTACCTGGCTGCCTCAGGTAAATACTACACATCAGACGTGTGGACAGGATGTAAACACGGAATGAGCCCCCATCTCTACCCGCAGCCCACTCTGCATTCAGGAGCACTCTTAAAATGGGCCTGTTTTGTGATCCTTATTTCTTTTGGTTTTCTCACCCCATAAAGACAGGCCCTGCTTTTAAATGAGTTTCAGCCCTAAATAAGATTCTCTGTCTGGCAAAATGGAAACAAGGAGACAGTTGTTTGGGAATTGGGAATTTGAGGCACGTGCTTTCTGGGTGGTGCTTTGGGTAAGGAGGCAGTCCCGGAAGTGAGCTGTAGATTCTTTACTGAAATGCAAGGCGCTGCTGGCTTTGTACCCACTCACCTCCTGGGCTGCCACAGCCATCGCTTTCTCCTTGCCCAGAACGCCTCTCTTTGCCTCATTGCCCGGTTCAGGTTCTTGCTCTGTAGGCGTTTCCCTTTGTTAGTGCAGGCATCCTCTCTGTCCTCCATTGCTTGAGGAAGCTTTTGAGAAACAGCCTGGATGGCTCACGTAGGAGGCAGGGCAGGAGGGAGGGTGGTCTCTGGCAGGTGCCATCCCAAGGTCCTGGTGGCCTTGCTGAGCCCCACTCTTCTTCCACCTGCTTGCTTGGTCCTTCCAGCTTCCTTCCACTGCAATTTGAGGTCAGAAACTAGAATGCAGGTCACTGTTTGCATGGCATGTTCATAAAGTGATGTGACTTAAACCATCCTGGATGCCATGGCCCTCCGTGAACATGGTCCCCCACAGAGGAGGTGCCACTGGGAGAAGGTAGGCACATCCCAGAAGGACTCCCACTGCTCAGAATATTTTGGGGGCTCAGGATGGGATGTCTGCACCTTCGGACAAAGTGTTTACAGTTCTGTATGTTACTGTCCTATTCTGCACCATCCCAAAGGGGTGAGTTTGATGTCTGATATTACCCAAAGTCAGTTCCAGTCAAATCCGGTCAGTAGGGTATGAGGGTGGGAAGGGGGATTCTGATTCAAGCAACAGTATTCAGAGCAAATTTATTTATCTATTCATCTACCTATCTATTTATATATGTCTGTATATACATGTACATATATATATAAAGCTTGAAGATTAGGATGGGTTGGTTATTTGCCTTTTTTTTTTTTCTGCAAGACTTCAGTGTCAGTTTTCAAAGGGGCTCCAGAGAGTTTTGAACATGGCAATACCGTGGTGTCCCAAGGAGACTACCTTTAAAAAATGCAATATCTGATGCAAATTTGGGCTATTTCTTTTACAGCTGTTGTTAATCACACTTCCATTATAAGGTAGAGTTATGGAGCCTGTGATTGCTCAACTAAATCAGAGAATGCCTGTTTTCCTTCACAGAAGGGGAAGCCTCTTATCTCTCTTCCCTTCACTCACCTGTCTCCCTCCCTCTCTTTTTCCTTGATTTCCTGATCTTTGGCCTAGAGAGTCTTGCCTTTACATTTTGGTGGCTCTTGCTTAGTGTGTGAATGTGGTGCTTCTCTCTAGGCCACACATCAAGAACACCACCGGCGTGAGGTGGCTTTGTAAACTAACAAGCACCATGTCCTAGACACAGAAAACTGGAAGACAGCCCTTCCCAAACGTGGCTGCATTTTAGAACTTCCTGGCAAGTGTTTAAAACTGACACCCAGGTTGTGCCCCGTTCCAACTGAAACGGAATGTCTGTGGACAGGAGCCAGGCAGCAGTCGTTGGTCAGAGAACTCCAGGTGATTCTAATCTGCAGCCAAGTCTGAGGACTACTGTAAGGAGGGGGACTGACCTTAACAAATGTGAGCAGTTATGCTTGAGCATAACCACAGCCAGCCTGTCTTGCATCTCTTAGGCAATGTGATGTACTAGAAACAACAATGGGTGCAAAACCAATCTCTGCAATCTACTATCCTAGTGTCTTGGCAAGCCACTGAACCTACTGTGGGCTTCATCTTTCTCATCTGTAAAATAAGATCATAGCAATACCTTATAACAAGGTCGTCTGAAAGAATGAAAGATGATGTGTGGAAGTCCTTATAAATTTTGAAATGCATTATAAATGCTTGTTGTTAATACTGGAAATTATTATTTTACAGAAAGATAGTCATTTCCTATTTCCCTTGGCCAGATAGGGTGACTATGGTGGCAGTAATTCCTTCATTAATGCAGTAATAGTGAGAACTGTTTAGACAAGAATTTATTTCTCCCATCTGAAAAACGGGATGGCAAGGAGAGGTGGGTGTCCCCCAGCTTTAAAATGAAGCCAGCAGTGAGACCCCAAGAGAACCATTGTCCCACGGTACCCGGAGAATGCTCTTTGGCTTCCAGTGAGATGACTCCAAGTGAAGGGGCCTTGTGCAGTGGAGGGGACATCAGTGGGCCATCGGCTACTGAGCCTGACTTCCATCTTCAGGCTTTCTGTTTGATTGGATTTCATTTATGTCACAGTGGATGAACCAGGGTGAAACTGCTCTCAGAGTATTGCTAATGGGTCTCAAAGGCAGGGCAGAGGCCTAGCCAGTTGGCCAGGGCCCACTTGTCAGTGTGACTGTGGTGTCATGTATAGTAAACATCATCATGGCTCTTTGGGGTACAAACCAAAGCATTTTCTTGGGCTTGTCCTCCCCAGGGATTTGAAGTTAGATGGAGGGAAACAATCAACAGGTGCCGTGAGCTTGAAAGAGATCATTGGCCTTGAAGGCGTCGAGCTGGGAGCTGATGGGAAGGTAAGGCTTTCTAGCTTCCACCCAGCAGGTTTGTGCCAACACCACCAGGTTTGGGAAGCAGAGGCAGCATGATAGATGTGACCCTTGCTCGTGGTAGGGGAACCAGTCTGGGGCCCATTCCTGGTGGGTGACACCAGCCAGTCCCTGTTCCCCTAGCATGCACGTGGAAACTTGCCCCCCCGCCTCGCCCCAAGCCAATGATGAAATACCAGCACGTGTATTTCTCCCCCCAGCATAGTTTATGATGGAATGCATGATACTGACGACTATCTTAAACCAGCACACATGTGCCTCTTCTGGAATGGAGTGACTCGTGGTATGAATGTATATTAGCTGATGGTGTCAGCCAGCAGCATTCCTGCTACTAGAAAGTTTGCGGGGATGGGGAGAGGGCTTCCCAGGGTCCTGAGGAGCTGAGTCTATCAGCCGTAGTGAGCACCTAGCAGGAGGGCTGTCAGATTCCTCCTTGTCCACCACCAGGGAGCTGATGGGTAGAAGCCTGAGGAGTGAAGGTTGAAAGATGAAGTTGACCTTTTTGTCCCAGATCCCTGCAGTCTTTGTAAACCCTTCAAAAGCCTATTTGTGGAGACACGGTACAAGTGTTTGGGGGAGCCATCCCAGGGTAGTTTGCTTCCAGCCAAAACTGCTGGGGCAGCACATGACCTGCCCACAGACCCTCCCCCAGAACAGCTGCTCACCACCGTGCCCACGCGATGTCAGCCCCGAGCTCACGAGTAGGCGTGCTTGAGGCGTGCTTCTCCAAGCAGGTGAAAAGAAAATCACTTGTTCCATCTCCATTCCTGAGGGTTGAGTGTTCACCTGGGAATGAGAGAGGTGAGCTAGAAACAAGCATCAGAGATAACAGCCGCCAAAAGAACATACAGGAGGCCACAGCCCTCGTATCAGAGACTCTTGGAGCCTGACGTGTTTTGGAATTCTGCACTTGGTGGGTTATTAAAGCTTGCTTGGTGTTCAGAAAAAAACCAGCCATGTGTGGAATGTGCCTTCTGTATTACATAACATCCCAACAGCTTCTGGGATGGTTACCAAACACTAGTATTTCTGTCATATGACATGAATATTCACCCAAAGGACGATAAATTAAAACTTCTACATAGCCTTAAGTCCATTGAGTTTAGGCTTTGGCACCAGTAAGTGCAAAAAACAAATTTCAGATCTCTTTGGTTTTAGAACGACAGAGGTAAGAATATGCATGTGAACTGGGTATGGTAACAGCTGGGCAGGATGCAGACCTAACATTGCCTGGGAATAATCCATTTTGTCCGTTTTTGTCTTCACCTTTTAGACTGTTTCTTACACCCAGTTTTTGTTACCCACAAATGCCTTCGGAGCCCGGAGAAATACCATAGATTCCACCTCCTCCTTCTCCCAGTTCCGCAACCTGAGCCACCGCAGCCTCTCCATAGGACGCGCGAGCAGCACCCAGGGGAGCCTCGACACAGGTAACCTCATGCGGGGCTGGGCCCAGGCAGCACGTGGTGGAAGGTGCCCTGGTGTGCAGACCGGAGGAGGTGTGCCTTTGGAGCATGAGCTTATCCCACAGACGACAGGACTTTTGGGCAAGCCCGATTTCAGGCCATGCACGCGGCCATGCCACCAGGCCACAGGGGGCCCCACCATTGAGATGTTTCAGCCACCGACTCCTGAGCTCCCGCAAGGAGAATGCCAAGGACATTCTGTACGGTGCAGATACGGCTGCCCCCCGCCTCCCTCCAGCCTCTCTCTACCACTCAGATATAACCTGGTTCTTGCCTGTTTCCATAGTGTTCAGATTTGGCTTTTTCAGTTAATGGGCCAGAAACACAGGATCACGTGTGAGAACTTTTTTGTGATTCTTGTGGTGGGTGAACTAACATGGCCTGTGGCGGAAGGCTGGCTGGCTTCTAGCTTGGCCTCTCCACACCTCTATGAGAAGTGAACAAAGGAGAAAACTGCATGAGACAGTGTTATTCCCACTCCTGGAGAAACTCCAGGTGAGTGGGAAGTTCGTCGGGCCTGTGCAGGTGCTGAGCGTGGCAGCGCGTCCTGCCGTCCCCGCCTCCGGCCGCGTCCAGGGGTTTGCGCTAGCACCTGCTCTCATCTGTGTTTGTACAGACCCGGTGGCCTGCCTGGAAGCGCTCATGCCATAAACGTGCTGCTTGAGTGGCACCACTGCAGTTACTAATCGGATCTGCAGGTTTAGCAAATGCGTCTTTTTGGTCCCACGTTTTGTGATCTGAGTGCTTGCTGTATCTTTCCCGCTGAAGTTTTGTGCTCTCCAAGGTCAAGGAGATTGATACATAATTTTCTAAGGTGGGAAAACTGTCGGGACGTTAAGTATTCGGTGAACCCTTTTGCAGGGGATACAGTTCATTGGCATGTAGAGATGTCTCCTGAGGGTCAGAGCTTGTGACATGACTCTGAGCTAAATGACCTGAGGCCAGCCTTCTGTCACTATAACTTTATACTGGGCATTCGCACGCCCCCTGCACCCCTTCTCTGCTTTGGAGAATTTGGAGCCCCTATTTATCATATTGTGTGTGATCCTTAGGTAGTGACCTGGGAGACTTCATGGACTATGACCCAAATCTCCTAGATGACCCCCAGTGGCCTTGTGGCAAGCACAAGCGAGTTCTGATCTTTCCTTCGTACATGGTGAGTAGTGGTGGAGGGACCGTCTGTTTGCTCACCTCCGCCTGTGAGGAGTAGGTTGAAGGTGACAGCCTCACCCTAACAGACGGCTGCTCTCTGGGGCAGGGGGCTTGTTCAAACACTGCTTGGCCAGGGGAGCTTCTTGAGCACCCTCCAGTGTAAGCTGTTCACGAAAGGACCAGCACGGGCTGGGCACCTGGCCTGCATACACCACTTGGCTCCCAGCTCAGTGTCGGGATCCCTCACCTCTGAGGGGACACCCCTGAGCTTATACATCCATAGGCCCCACAAGGAGAGGACCAGGCCATCAAGCTCAGCTCTGTCTGGAGTTCTGTGGTAACCAGAGTCCTCCATGTGCACTCAGGCAGATTTGGCACTGGGCTTCCAGTGACAGAATGATCTCCTGGGAGAGTGAAGGTAGGACAGTGGGGGTGTTAAATGCAAAACCTTTCCTTGCCGTTTTTACTTCATGGACCCTTCCTGTTTTTCCCTTTGTGTAATTTCGGTTTCTGCTTTTGGCTGACCACCATTTCCCACCGCTTGCACTGCTCTTTCTCCAGACACCAGTGGGGCCTCACAGGATCATGCGCCCTTTCTTGGGGCAGGCAGATCCCGGACGGCCATGGGAGGAGGAGAGAGCTGGGCTCGTGGGAACCCTGCCATGCCAGGCCCACCATACATGGCATCAGGTGGGAGAGGGCTGACCCGGAATGCCCACCGCCTCCCTGACAGGCCCAGATGGGGCGGGCACAGCTCCCAGCATCCGGCTCCGGTTCCCTTGTTCCTCCGCCGCCCTTGCCGTTCTCAGCAGCTTAATTTGGGAGTGAGCAGAGGGTCCTTTTTCTGTTCTGGGCTAACGTATCTGCAGTAGCAAGAGCAGGACCCAGTTTACTCAAAGGGCCCCTGGACGCGTACTCTGAGCTGAGAGTTCTTAGCGGTGGGGTTCTACCCTCCACCTCTCTTTGTCCCTGAACATTTGGCAAGTGGCTGGCATCAGAGGAACAGCAGGCCGCACTCGGGCCCTCGCCAGTTGCTTTCCAGCATATATCCTATTCTACACCATGCGGAGTCTGAATGAGTTATCAGAGGCAATTAGTTTAAAATGGCCCATTTCTCACTCTTCCATCCTTATTCCCCACCTCCTAACACAGAAAGCAGGACCAGAGCCATGTATAGTTTTTATTTCCCCTCTGTGACCTATAGATTATTTACTTCTTGGGGCACTTGGATGGCTCAGTTGGTTGAGCATCTGACTCTTGATTTTAGCTCAGGTCATAATCTCACGGTTTGTGGGATCGAGCCCCGTGTTGGGCTCTGTGCTGACAGCACAAAGTCTGCTTGGGATTCTTTCTTCTCTCTCACACTCTGTCTCTCTCTATGCTTGTGCTCTTTCTCTCTAAAAATAAATAAACTTAAAAAAAAAAAAAAAGATTTACTTTTTTTACAAAGCCAGAACTTACTCATGGAAGCTAGCCCACAAGTGTGTAATAAATGACCAGAATCACCGCCCTAATGTTAAGGAGGGAGCAGCTGAAAAGTCATGACTTATGTAAGACTAGGATTCTTTATGTTGTTTGCTGCTTCGTTCACTAAGCGACAGGACTGGAAACTGTGGTTTGGGGAGTCTCAGTGAGGCTTGTCACAGTTGCCAGATAGGGAGTGGGGGCTGAGGCTAGAACTCCTGGCTTGGTCCTCTTCTCACTTGGCCCATGATGCCCACGTCCCCCAGCAGTCAATGGCAGAACTGGCAACCTCGGGGTAGGGCATGAACATGGTTCTTTGGGCCAGCAGTTTAACAGATTTCTAGGGAAGCAAGAGAATAATAGGGGGGCACTATTTTTGAATGACCTTGGGGTTTGGCAGAAAGCTCTTCTACAGATCATGTTCCGTTTGGTGATAACATTGACCTCTACTACAGGCCTGGTGTCAGGCTGGTACAGATCTTCCTTTCTTTAAATGATTTTACTGTGAGCTTCAAGGTTCTGGGCCACAGTCTGCACGTATGTGCCCGTGTGCACAGGTAATTTTTCCTCCTTGGACGTGTGCTGGATGACTCGCCAAGTCAGCATATACGTCCTGACCTCCTTGTTTTACGTCCCCGACTGGCTCAGCTTTCATTTCACCACGTTGAATCTACAGCCTGTGCTTCCTGTAATAGTACATGTTTTAGAAAATGAAATTGCTCATGAGCTGCATTTTCTGGTCAGTTCCATAAGATGTACGTCTCCTACTCTGGCCACAGATATTGGTACTTTGATAAAATGTGCGGTATCTGCTTTTCAGTATAGGCCTCTGTCACTGATGTGCATGTCATGTGTGACAAAGAGCCTCAGACCGGCTCCCAGGAAATTTCCTCTTCAGAAGCAGGCATGGAATATAGGGCTGTTTCATGTGCAGTGAACTTGTGTAAGTGTGGGGGTTTTGGTTTGGATTGGTGTTGGTTTGCTTGAACTCCTAGAATTGTCCATTCAGCCAGTACTGACTGAGGCCCTCCTATGTGTCAGGCTAGGTGCTTCCTTATATAGTGTTTTCCTCAACCTTATAGTGGGTGGGGAAGTCAGACAGTGAACAAGTAAGTCACTGCAGTCAGGAGGAGGGTGAAGAAAAGTGGTTAGGAGATGTTGGGGGTGGCAGTTGGAGGTCGGCCTGCAGGGAGGCTCCCCTGAGGACATGGCATTGGAGGGGAGTGTGAGGGGTGAGAAGGAACAGCCTTGCCAGGCCTTGGTGGGAAGGGCCCATGTGCAAGACTCTAAGGGGTGGAAGAGAGTGAGTGTATAAAATCAAGATTTTTAACAGTAAAAGTCACTGTCCGTACCTCTACACACGTGCGCACACATGCACGTGCCCACACACACAGAGGTGGAGAAGGCAGGCCCACAGAATGATGATCCTGACAGGCGTTCCATGCCTACTCGGTGCTTGTAATAGGCGCTGACTACCAGGATAGACAGAGCTACAGGCTTACTTGACTCAGGCTGTTGAAAGGGTCTGGGGCACATCTTGGCCTGTAGATGGGTGGGAGGCCCTCTGTGTAGACAAACCCAGGTTGGAGCTTTCCTCTTGGGATGTGAACCCTCATTGTTGGCAGGGCGCCCCCTCCAGGCGGACGTCAGACCTATATGAAGCCTGTGCAGCCCGGCTCCTCTCACCCCTCCCTGGGGGGTGGTCTTTGCTGGAAGAGTGGGGGGAGAGGAGCCAGCCAGGTTACAGGCTGGCTGTGTGCACAGCACTGTCCGCCTCCCTTAATCCTGGCTCCCAAGGCCTGTGGGGTCCTGCTGCCTATGCCTGTCGCCCTGTGGTCCCCAGGTCAGCTCAGCCCAGAGGAGGCCTCAGGCCTGAGAACCAGGGGCTGTTGCCCAGTGTTTTGGAGCGTTCTGTTCCTGTGGAAATTCAGTGGCTGGGATGCTCGTGTGGCCTCTGCAGAATCAGGCAACCCTGAAAGTGATGAGCTAAACCTTACCCCGTCACATCCTGTGGCCATGGACTCTTGTTCTCTTTTTACATGAAGGTGTGCTTTACATATGGTCAAGTGTACACATTTCAGGTGTACAGTTCCATGACCATTGCAACCTCTACTTTAATGGCAATAGAACATTTCTTCTTTCCTCTTAGCTCCCTCCTGTCCATCCTGTTCTCCCTCCCACCTGCTCCTGGCAAGGCAGCTGCTCTTTTGACTTGTGTCACCATAAATTAGTTTGGCTTCTTCTGGCACTTTAAATAAGTGGAATCATATACAATGTGCTTTTTTTTTTTTTTTTGGCCCATCTTTCATACAATTTAATAGGTGAGATTCACTCATGTTGCAGTATCAGTATTTTTTTTTAATTTATTTTTAATGTTTATTTCTAAGAGAGAGACCGTGAGCAGGGGAGGTTTCAGAGAGAGAGAGAGGGAGAGGGAGACACAGAATCCGAAGCAGGCTCCAGGCTCTGAGCTGTCAGCACAGAGCCCGACATGGGGCTTAAACCCACAAACTGTGAGATCATGACTTGAGCCAAAGTCAGATGCTTAACCGACTGAGCCACCCAGGCGCCCCAGTAGTTTGGGTTTTTAAAAATTGCTGAGTAATTGCTCTATTGTATGGATATACTATAGTTTCCACTTTGGAGATACCGTGTCTATTGTTACTGTGGGCATTCTTATACAAGTCTTTTGTGGACATATATTTTCATTTCTCTTGGATGGATAAGTACCTAGGAGTGGGCCGAGTCATTGTGTAGGTGAGGTTAACAATTCAGGATGTCGTTGGATATATATTTTCATTCCTGTGTGTTGTAAGTGTGATATAAAAAGGTCACTTGTGCTGTCACGGCTGGGACATGTCTTAAAGTGGAAGCATTCCAGAGGCAAACAATTCCCCGAGGCCTAGAAAGAAGCCTGTTACATACAGAGTTTAAGTGGCACCCCTTTCAAACTGGCCTCACACTCAGACTTACATTTGTTTCTAACTTTGATCTATGCAAGTCACTCCCGCTGTTAGCCACTGTGAAAGGGCAAAGGGGAAATTTTGAAGTATAGAAAAAAAAATCCTGGGGCAGGTCTGGAAACCAAGTCGTAGCTGCAAGTAAGGCCTGTGGTTTGGGCCCGAAAGTTTCTAGACGGTGACCACATAATAGGAAAGTATTTGAGCCTCCTGGCTACAGGCGGGTTCTCATGGGGCCTTAGCTTAATGATGGTGTTTCTTAGTGTGGTGAGGGCGGGCGTGAGGCCTCCAGTCAGAACCAGGGGCTTCCTGCCTTGTGCGCCGCCTGGCCTGTCATTAAAGTTTCACCAGAGAGTGGTTGTTTATCATTAGAACCTGGCAGCAGAAGTCAGTAGTGGTTTTGTTTTTTCTTCCCTTTCTGGGTGTGGAGAGCAATTAAGAGGAGAAAGTAGGCAAAAGAGCTGACTGAGCTGGTGCCAACAAAGTGAACGTTATTTGACTGGATTTCTGGATCCTTTCCTTTCTCGGGAAGAAGTCCCTCTCGACCTGTTCTGACGGCAAAAAGCAAACTAATGACCTT